GTTTACTTATCTTCACAACGAATATTTAAGCAGCTGAGCATTCTGAACATATAATTAAACAAAGCATTACCCTGGAAAATAATTAGACTACAACGCTACTCGTCCCCAACCGGTGGGGATATTATCTGTTCAGTACAAAGGCTTACTGAACTTACTTCAATGCTAGCAGTCGATTCTTGGCAGCGAAGGAGACTCTGCTGGCAGGGAAACTAAGACAAGATTTCTAAGAAAACGGCCATTGATTACTGAATTAGCTTGCGCGTAGCCCGACTTTAACAAGAATCGATTTGAAATTATTATTCTAGGRGCTTCTCCYATGTAAAAAGGGCGGGATGAAYGTCGAAAAAAAAATCCCTCCYCCATAAAAGGTTTGAACTTGCAYCTGCAGTTTAATCTTAGCCCTAAGAGATAAAACTTTGAAACAAAATAAATCATCAAGACACAAGTTCGGTCGCACGAGTACAAAGCAGTTCTACTCGTCAKTTAAACCGAAACTTGTGTCGTAAACAAGTTTCAGGTCAAAATTGCCCCGTGTGACGCCCTCGTGAAACTTGTCTCGCAACGCCGTTGCACACAASTTCAGCTTATAGTTTCAAAGTGGTACAGGGCCTTTAGTAAAATATTCTTATTCGTTTTGCTACACCGCATTTTGATGATCACGTGCACACGCCCATAATAAAGCTCGGGCTGCCTGTAGTTAGATGACAGTGCAATAAAATCCCTTTGCTATCGGGAATTGAATTATTTCTTTCCATCTAACATGGCTGCCGTCATGTGATGGTATTTGATCTGAAAATTAACTGTGCTCCGACTTTGGTCAGCCCTGATCCTTGCTGTCTCAAGGTATCAATAAAATTTAAAGGTTTTTTTGGAGTTTTTGTCATCATGAGTATATATACTTATTTCAATAAAGTTAGTCRCCAAAAATCTAGAAAGCTRTGATCGCTGAGAACGATGGGAAATATTTCATATCCAACAAGTAAAGATTTCGACRCAAACTGCAGCAGTTGAGGATGTTCAGAGGAGGTGAACTTGTAACTGGTAGAAGATCTCAAGTCCATCAACAGTTATCAAGCGGTTGAAACATGTAGAATGTATCTATCCATAATCCTTGTCGGTCTYAGCTTTGTAGCTTTTTAGGTGTGACTACTTTTATTGAAATAAGTGTATAATCTGCACAATCAGAGAYGCYAATGCATGCCACAAATAACAGTCTMTAGTTAGCTATTCCATATTAAAAACGTTTTATTTCTTTCTACGTTACAAACAATTTTCGCATGAAATCAAGAAAACCAAACTTCCTCGTTTGCCCACTACTATTCAAAAGAACAATCCATATAAAAGAATGATAGTTTGACTCGCCTTATCAATCTTTTTGCAAATTCTTGCATATTTACATTCAAGCACAATGCAATGCCTATCGTTTTGTGSAATCAAATTATCAGTACACTCCCCTATCTTTGTCATTGTATAGTTAATCTCTGGATGGTAGGTCAGTAATATGGTTGTGTTATCGTCGACGGCTTCTATAGCTGCCTTCTCTACGATCTGATTGGGTTCTACGTATGAATTCATCACAAGCAGCTGYGTACGGGTCCACCTGTGTTCAAAGAGATAGGTTAACTAGGGTAAAGGTTGGTGAGAAATCCTTTCTTATTGGGTGTATATGGGTGTATATACCCACCAAACCCTTCGCCATTGGGTGCATACCCTTACCCTTATCAGCCTACCCCTTGTTATAGATTAACGATAGTATATGTCCAATCCCTTGTTATGGGGTGTTCATATACATTTCCTACCCCTAGACACAGGGTGCACATATAAAATGCTTTGAGCACCCAGAGTCTGATTYCAAAAACAACYTGCTTCAKTTCTAAAAGGCAAAAGATAGGAAAAAGAGAAGAGGGCTTACCGATCTGTGATGATAGCGAGAGCTGCTGCTGTGAGTTACATGTGAAGGAAAGTATCCGTACGATGGGACATCAATCGATCTTGACGAGTAATGAGACTGAAAAGGAAAATCTTACAATCAACTTTTGAACATCTACAAAGCTTGCAAAACTAGAGGCTCATGAATGTGAAGAGGATTAAAGCGAAAGGGTGCTGTAAAATATTATTCATTCCGAGGATGAGGGGAAAACTGGGTCGATTTGGCATTGGAGTGTATTGTGGGGCTGTTTTAAGGGACGAAATAGACGCCATCTTGGAAAGATGTCCCCTAAGACAGACCCACAATGCACTGCAATGGCAACTCGACCCAGTTTTCTGCTTATCCTCGTATGGACTAATATGCCAACCGTTTTCTGATTAGTTAGGGAAGGTAATCCCTCATAGGGGTGTGTATTCGCCAAACTTTTTTGAATGGTTATGGCCATCCCCCTTCCACGCAGTACGAAATTCATGACCCTCCCATTAAGTCAACAAGAAAACAGCTTTAGTCGAAATAAAAAGGATCAACCTCAAGAAAGTTCAATTTTTTTACAGATGACCCTTCCCTCTGAAGTCCAAGCACCTGACCCCTCCCCCCCTCGTCTCTCAATAAAAACATGTGACCCTAAAAGCGCGTGTATTGAGCACGCAGCACGCGCTCGCACTCATATATTTTTTATCAAAACAATCACCAGGTTTCAGATTGCAATGCCGTCACTTACCCGACTGATGGATGATAATGATGACTGGTGTCGAGACCGCTGATATTCCCTCATGTAATCAGAGTATGACTGAAGTACAACAAAATAAAGTGAAAATAATTATAAAAGAATAGATTCTAAAACGTCTTTGCCAGAAATGGAACCACATGCCGTAAGTTTACCGGAGGGGGATAATGAGGGTAGGATGACGAAGGGGACAAGAATCCGTTCCCTTTGGTACCATCCCGAAAGATGAAAAAAAGTTATAGGACTTACCCCGTGTAGAAGGGTCTCTCGTCTCACACCACTATAACGTGTTCTGCAAACCAGAAAAAAATAAGCATTGCCTGTTTGCAATAGTCAATTCAAATTTATCACTAGTGAGTGACATCTTATTATGACATTTTAATCTTGGGGTTTTGCCATACTATTGCCGTGTTGTGCACGTGATCCTCACGTGAAAGTACAGCGTGGTGGTGTGCACTGSTCATGCGCCTCCGGGTACGATTCCCTGGCTCAGTGTCGTATGTGAGTTTGGTTGTCTTTTGGTTCTCTCCTGAGCTTTTAGAGTTTTCTCCAGGTTCTGCAGTTTTCTCCTTCCTCAAAAAATCAACTTCTAAATTATCAAATGGATTTGAAAACCTGTTGAGCTTTTCACTGTCTAACCTGGAGTTGTAAACCCCATTAGATTCGTTTAGGTGTTATTGAGAATGGCCGTCAGAAGAACAATGGTGTTGTAGACTGGCATGTTGACCACCTTGGGAGAAGTCATCCTCAGAATCTAGACTTACTTGTGAGAATGTTGTTTCAATAGTTTGGTGTAGAAAAGTTAATCCTCGTTTGTTATGCAACTTTGCTCGTACAAAGGAGTCTCACGAATAGGGTGCGCACTACAATTCATGSAGTAATAGTAATCCAAAACACCGGCGCTGGAAACTATGATATAGCCTCCTCCGCAGGCATCTGCTTGGCTCTTTTTCGCTCCTTGGGCTTCCTGTGGCGAGGACAAAAAGACGAAGCTTTTTCTCTCCCTCCCTCGTCCCCACTCCTCCTCCTCTCTCGTTCCTAGTTCTTCTCTGCCATAAAATTTAATACAGGGATCCCAACAGAGAATATAGAATATATGGAGTAGCCTGCGGAGGAGGCTAACTATGATACTAGGAAATGCATATTGTTTACCTATCCTCTCCCTTGCTACTGCTATGACTGTCATGACGATCTCTTGATCCCGAATGGCGGCGAATACCTGGAAAAGATCGACAGGATGGTGTAGTTTAGCCACAAGAAACAAAAATCCTCAGTTATGACCAACTCCATTGATCAACAAAGGAAGGGAACGGCAACTACCGGCAAAAAATATTAGAATCTTCCACATTACGACCAACTCTCTTGATTTACCACGTGTGGTGAAAATTAGTTCTGGAACGTACGTCAAACGTTGCATAAACAACTCTATTGATTGACTAAAGCCTTCAGTCGGATCAACGTCTCGTTCGTTCACAGTGATTGACTTGACAATATCATTGGTCAACCTTTTAAGAGGCCTCAATGGCAGTACAATTGATTTATTCTTGGAATAAATTCTTCGTCTCAGCCTCCAAGCTTTTTACTACACTGACGAAGACATCGATGTCTCAGAAGCTCATTCTTGATTGGCTGAGATTGGTTACCAGAACAATGGACGCTGTCAAGTTTTAAGGATCTTTTTTTTACATATCTTCTGAGAGCTGCAAGGTGACCCAAAATTTATTTGGGCATTTTGAATTTTTTCCAATACTCCAGTTTCGAATTCTTTGTTGTTCAGCTTTAGCCTAAATTTTGTGGTTCACGTGTTCCAGTGAGGCTCCGTGGAGTTTCGAAGTGCTTGTATTCTTGAAATTGTACATTCTTTACTCTACCGTTGATATTCGTTACTGAAATGATTCGAGGCTAGCACTCAAAAAAAGAGTCTGCGATCAAGGAACACAGCGGTATTTTACGAATTCCGAAATAGTCTATTTAGGGTGTGTGTGTGTGTGCGTATTAGCTAACCTCTTCGTCTTCGCTTCGCTCTTCGAATRTCTTCCGAGGAAAGATTCCTACTACGGTGCCTGCTGAATAAACCAACATATGACGAATATTAGTTGAGGAACACACCTATGGGGTGTTATAACAGTTCTACTCACAGAGGGTCCGTGTACCATTTCACTTGTCTATGAATATCTTCAAGCCTTACAGATTTGATTACTACTAAGCCAGACTGTTATCAGGTGTTCGTAATAAATAGCAATTTAACTTGGAACTTATTTCCACGCATCTTCGAAATCAATAATTTARTGTAACACAGATTTCTAGCTGCAAAACTTTGGTCAAAAAATTCATGCAACTTGTTGTGTAACATTGTCGCGTTCTTTCTATTCTTTGCAAAAAAAATTCCCAGCACACCTCCGAAATGTTAACGCAAGTAACATTATTTTGTACTGAATTCCATTCCAAAAATATGTTTGAAAGATGGATCCAAAGATCCTATTGTTTAAAACCGAGGCTGTATTTGAGTAAGACTTGAAGCGACAAGAAATACTACACGAAGGTCCTGTAAGTAGCTGTACTGGGTGGCTCGAGTAAGGATGGGTGTCACCTCTAGGCGCACGACGCTGTGCACGGCAAAGCTTGACAACCTGTCCAGCAGCAAGCCGTGATGTAGTATGCTACATGTCCTGTATTCTATTCATATGCATTSATGTAATCCCCTCTTGGCCTCGCCWTCATGTTTGATTGACTGCCTGAACTCACTACCGAACACATAATGAATAAATCGTTCAACAGTTCCTCCCAGCAGGAATTCTTGTGGCACGTTGAGAAAGTTCATATACCATGCAACATASATAGATAGCAACTGCACCAAGGCAAATAGTTTTCCCAAATATAATAATTAACCAATCAACAGGCAGGTTCAAAAGACCTTTGACAATGCTATCAAGTGGTCTCCTGAAGGTAAAWTATGACCAACCCCAATGTCCTGGTTTTTTGTGCTCAGAGTAGCGTCTCCTCGAAATATATGCTGTGAAGTCTCAATACAAGTCTTGTCTTACGCAAAATAAAGACAAAAATAGCAAAACTTTGGTTCGAAAATTTGAAGTCTTAGAATAGAATAGAATTAAATTTGCATTTCAACGGTTTGAGAGCAGCTTTTTTCTTCCTTTTCTTGTTTGCTTCGGAAAATATTTTCTCTGCATTTTAAGTCTTTGGTTTTCGATATATCGCGGATAAACGAAAAGACTAAACTTGTCCGTCTGTGCATACCGCCATTCGAATCAGCAACTTGCACTCGCGAGTCCGTGGTCATCCGTAAAACCACTTGAATTTGAATGTTCTTTTGAAAATATGATTTGAATCCAGTCACCAGAGGCGAAAACAAAAGCTAAATTTAGCACATCTCGGGGCTCTAAAACTAGTGGTACGCGAATCAGTTCAAGTTGTCCATTAATGGTGATCGACAAACGTCCATAATAAAGTGAGCTCGGCTTGYGGGTCCTATTTAACCTCCGTGGTGTGTAAAGTTCGTATTTCACAGCACTGGTAGTAGCTTCATCTACCTTTACTCTGACACAAYGATTGAACCTATAATAACGCAAAGATGTGATAAACGTGAGATTTAAGACTCCTGTTGCTTGGAGTGGCCATTATTGACCTTCTCTTAGGTCAATATTAGATATAATCGACCCCCATCTGGGTCAATAGTGGATATTCCCAAATGAGAGGCACATATCAGCCCCCCGTCTTGTACATTAGACCAGCATGACCACATAAGTAGAAGCAAGCAATTCTTCTTGTCCTTATTGTAGATCCTAACCTAGATGTTAATTCCTTTTCCTTGRCACGTCGGCTGCTTTCTGATCGTGAAGATGAATGATGCTTTTCAAGTTCGACGGATGGATCGTCAGGGAATAATCGACATAATTCCTCGCCAACTGATGGTTCCACTTCCTGTCGGGAAACGACAATATCACATTATCAATATCAGCATATTTTATTGCATGGGTGGGGTACGCTGCTAATGCATCGTCTTTCACTACTGTTGGTCCAATGTGCCCTGCAGATGTCATGTGAATTTATTTTGTTTGATGTGTTGTTCTCTTCCTTGCCACAAGGGCTTTTCTCCGTGTTTCCTCCCTCCATAAAAATCAACATGTGAGTCAAGTGTTATGTGCATAAGATAGTAAATGTAGTGGTAGTGAGTGTGAGTGAAAGCAGGCCCACATCAGCGAAAACTGCCAAAATAATCAGTCTGCTAAGATTATCATTATTATAAACATTTCAAAACACCTACCTGTCCATCTCTACATATTTTCACTTCCTTGTTGTCATTCCATGGGTTACGTAGATGGGTACACTTGCTGAACCAAAGATCTTGTCTGGAAATTAATTAACAGCAATGCCATGTAATACAAGCTAACTAAAGCTGTAAAGTTTGTTAAGTCTCTCTTTTCAAGGGTTTTTATCAGGAATCTTCAGTATTCCTCCCTTCACAAAACCTAACGAGCCCAATCTCAAGTTGGCGATGCCCTGACTTCGATTAGCCCTGAGGTTGTTTCAGGGTTTAATCTATAAATTAGCTTTGCCTTTTGATCAGCCCA